GCATATCAGTAATCATGTCAATCAATGATTTCTGTAAACATTCCATTTTAGGAGCAGTAATGCTTCCTAAGGCACCCTCCCCTTGGCTAGTTTTTGCACCTTGATGTTGGTGGGCGGGCTTAATTTCATGCTTTTTAGTGGAGTGTTGGAGACGGTAGGTTTATGGCCGGCGTTGCTGGCTCATGCCGCGATAGAATGGCGCCATGGGCAGGCAATGGGGATTACTAAGCTTCCCCTCTCTGATAAACCACTGCATGAGAGAACCAAAGATCTAGTCTAGCAGTGATAGTATCACACTTGTTACTCCTTTAATTGAGAGCCGCGTCGTAGTACGCTTACGTATAGGCACTGACGTTGGGTGTGATACTGGCGGGTTTTGCCGCAAATCACTCTTAATTTATTTATTTTTACGCAGATAGATTTATTTGGGTTTGCAAGGGCATTATACTATTGAAATATTTCAGAAAGTGCCCATCGGTGCTCCTTCTATTTGCGTGACAAGCTTTCATTGTTGTTTTCATTGAAGTATTACTCAGGAAACAATGTTAAACACCATTTTTGTACATGGTATTGTAACTAATCTTATATGTGCTTCATTTTGATTTGGGATAAGTGTTTGAACTATGACTCGGGATTTCCACTGTGGTGTGCTTTTATTGTGACATACCCATATGTATTTTTGTGGTGCGACATAGTGGAAACGTAAGAGCGTAATTGGAACATTTACCCTATACAATATGCAATTTAAAATTAGCTTGGAAACTTACTTCAAAGTGAAGCATTTTAGTCACTTGAAGGTGTCACCTGGGACGAACAAAGATATAATTAATATATGTCAAAGCCAGAAGTACTTGAAACATGTTAAATTTAAGTTTAAATCATGAATTATGATTGTTTAGGTAGATTAGAGATTTCAGTTATTTATTAAATAAACTTCAATTAGAGAATTCAGAAAGTTAATTAACATAAGAGATAGGACGCGGGGGGTCCGCTTAGGGAGGCGACTAGCCTTTGAAGTTGTATAATAAATCTTCCTATTTAGTGTATTTGTTAATTACAGGTAATGTTAATAGCGAAAGTCATATCTTCAATCAGACGCTTACGAACAAGTAAAGTTTTAGGAAAGATGTGTTAAATATGTTGATGGGTTTGAAATAAGAATTAGGATTGTTGTGCTTTAGGTAAGGTATGATGTGTCAACAAAACCCTTTTGAGCAAATTTTCAGACATCAAAGTGATCGAGTGATTTATTGAAAGACATTGCGTTGCGAAAATTGACAAGTCATACATCTAACATAGTAGTAGTAGTAGCAGTGTCGCATAATCTTATTACAATTGCTGCAAATAGTGCTGGAGGGGCCGGCAGGACTGAATACGGATCAAAACTAACATAACTACTAACACTAAAATGATCCCGGAACTAACACTTATCCATTGCACTAGTTATATATTAGTTTTATTTAGTTTTTTTTTACTAAGTTATCTATGCTTCTTTCTAGTCTTTGGATCAAGTACAACTAATACTAATCTACCTTTTTGTATGTTTTACTCCCTTTTAACCCATTATCTTTATGAACGGCGAATCATATGACGTGAGACACGGGGATTTCAATTGACTAAGGAGAAGGAAAAGAATAACTTCGAAAAGGATATCAAACAAATTCAGGACCAATTCAAATGAGACCAGAAATCAACAAGGCATTGGGGCGTTATATACTCGGTGAGGTAATTGATAAATAATCAAAAAGTGGTAAGTTAAATCAAAGTGGAGCCAACGATCATGAGAGGTAATTGTCTATAATTCATTAAATAGTAGAAATCTCGATAACTTTTTCAAGGGAGCGTATCGGCTTTTGAGGGCGGTGCGTTTGGTCGTCGATTTGGCGTAGCTGGTGGCTCGCCCACGCATGCTAGCACTATCATCAGATAGGGAAATTTTCCTCTACCTGGTAGTGGTGTTGGGCGTGCGCGAGCTGCCGGTTGCGCCGGGTCGACGATCGGATGCATTGTTTGCAGGAGCTGGTGCTTCCCTTTGAAAAAGTAATCGAGAAACAACCATATTATCCTGTAATTGACAACAAGACAAGTGGGGGTTAATACACAAGACAAAATGACAAAATAAATGACGACAGAAGACAAGACTGGGACAAAAATCAACCTTAAAAAAAAAAGAATGCGCAATTATATTTTTCAAAACTATTTGGATCAGCACAAAAACAACAGTGACCACATGGGCACCATAGCCTAGGAACGTCTGTGTGTTGATTTAAAATAGAGGCTCATAGAAGCAAAAATTATCAATAAAAGGGGTCCAGTGTAGAGTTTAAGCAAGTGCTGCCACTGGATCACTACAAAAAAAAAAAAAAAAGTAATGCTTCCTAAGGCAATTTTTTCAAAAATCCTGTTAAAATTACGTTGGCTAGTATTTTGAATTCGACCCGGTGCAATTGTAACATAAGTTGTTCCATTAACTCGCTAAATATTGTTAGCAGCGAGGGGAGTAGGTATAGATGAAAAATTTGAAGCAGGGGTGATATTTGTACCTACGAGTACGAATGTAGAATTTGTTACTCACTTGTCCTGCCAGTCTTCTAGGAGCATAAGGATTACTTTTTCATAGGCCTTAAGGTTGTTTAGTTCACTAGACTTGAAGTGAACTAAATAAAAATCATTAGAAACGTTGCGCGTACCGCCAGGACGGGATTTCATTTTCATTTTGATTGCTTGGCCTGGCACTACTCCAAGTAATTTTGCCAGTTTATCTTTGATCTGATCCAAGGATTCACCACTGGGCAATCTTTTCATGACAACCTTGAACACACGTTCAGTTTTTGTGTCGTAAGAAAAAAATTGTGCTGCTTCTCAGTAAGATACTTGAGAAGACGTTTGAATCCGTCCAATGTTTCAGCCAATACACGGGTTTCACCCCGCGACCAATTTGCAGTGAAAACTAGAATTTCGTGAAGTTCAAAAGTTCCGTGCGAAGAGCATGGAAATCAGAAGTGGTTTTCACAATAGAAGGAATCTTTTCCTTCTTTGAATTAAGCCGTGAAAGTTCACTAGAATTTTTCCTGGATGATGGATCATTCTCATCATCCGTGAGCAAATCAAATTGATTGCTCAAATAAATTTCATCACAAGGGGGATCAAGAGATTTCCCATTTCTTTTGCGCTTAGGCACCATGGCGGCAGTAAAACTTTTATCCAAATCGACTTACAATCAGATAACTATAAGAACCTGAAGGATCGAAGACGAAATTTCCAAATCGATATCCAAGCAAGATTACCTCGGGTAGGGTCCAAACGAGGATCTTACAGCAATAAGAGTCAAACAAAGTAGAAAATTTACAGGTATATTGAGCACTGAAAAGTGCTGTATGAGTTTGTTGTAGTTTTAGGTAGCAGGAACCCAGTAACTTCCTTCATCAAAAAACTAATAGATCCTCACGGCAAGAGAGCACGATGTGGACTGTATCTGTAATAAGTGAAACATCAGTTTGTTCGCTTGCTCATTAGCAGTGATGCAAAATATTATGACACTCACTCGACACTCGTCAACGCATCAATCGACTATCAATGACATAACGTTTTGTCACGCAGTGAGAGGTAGAGCCATGGCAAACAACAACCACCAGTAATGGTCGCTGCTCACAGGCAAAACGTAACACTCGAATATGTAATGCACAGCAAAAACAGTGAAGACTTCTGCAGTACGATGATGAGAAAAAGCGAAATGACAGAAGAAAATGAAAACAATGCCATCCACTTTGATGTGATATTAAAATTAAATTGTTGCTGACTACAACATTTATTGACAACTAGGGGGATTCAGTTATTGAATTTCAAAGTAAAAAGCTCGTATGCCGGGTCCACTTGTTCATTGTTTTGATAGTAAGCATCATTGTTACGTGGGGCTACAAAATGGTGAGTTGACAACCTGGAAGGAGCGGAATACCTAGCCCTGGTCCTCACAAGTTCCTACTTCACGCCTCCTCGAGTCATATGATAACAAAAGACTACCAGCTGAAACATGGACACAGCTGGGTGGCGTAGCCTGGGCAATGTTGCCAGTCCGGCAATAGCAAAGTGAAGAGGTGCGACGCGAACACTGGCGCGGTAACCATAGTACGTTCTCCATGTTAGGAGCGGCTGATCACCGTCCTAGTGCCAGCGTGGGACTCTAAACATAGCTGTGCACGATGGTCCCCCGGCGAGACAGGGGGTTGGGGCAGGCCCAACAAGCCGCCCTGGAAAAAAAAAAAAACAAAGTTACAAATACCGAAGAAAGAAATACGGATCGGAACAATCGGCACAGACCTACGCGATGAAATAAGGACTACGATTGGAAACTCGGAACATGGAACTGCAAATCGCTCGGCTTCCCGGGTTGCGATAGGTTAATCTATGACGAACTTCAACCACGCAACTTCGAAGTCGTAGCACTGCAGGAACTTTGCTGGACGGGACAAAAGGTATGGAAAAGCGGGCATCGAGCGGCTACTTTCTACCAGAGCTGTGGCACCACCAACGAGCTGGGAACCGGCTTTGTAGTGCTGGGCAGTGCTGATATTTGTCATTGTCATTGACAGACTTTTGCGCGATATTGACAAAATTGTTTTTCACATAGTCAATGATAGACTTGATCGTCAAAAAAATCTTTGTCAAAATCTCATTCATTTTTCGTCAATGACAAAGATTCACCTGGTAACAGAAAGTGTAATTTCTTGCATTTTGAGACACATTATTGTTATCCAAGCGGTTCAGGGCGTAGATGCTTATTCACTTTAATGGCTCCATGTAATTGTTTTGCTCAAGCCATTTAATTTCATTTCAAATTTAGCTAATAAACAAATCAGCACATGTTCGTCACTGACAAAAATGCTACTGACAATTGACATGGTTTGCCTTGACAATGACTGTTAGCTCAAACGAGTGACCAAAGCAGAATTTGGAGTATCACCGTGGATTGTCGAAATGTTTCAGCACTGGTGCTGGGTAAGATGCGCCAACGCGTGATTGGTTGGCAGCCGATCAACGCGAGGATGTGCAAGTTGAGGATTAAGGGCCGTTTCTTCAACTACAGCATCATCAACGTGCATTGCCCACACGAAGGGAGACCCGGCGACGAGAAAGAAGCGTTCTATGCGCAGCTGGAGCAGGTGTACGACGGCTGTTCGCAACGGGACGTCAAAATCGTCATCGGCGAAATGAACGCTCAGGTAGGACGGGAGGCAATGTATAGACCGGCAATCGGGCCAAACAGCCTGCATGCCGTATCGAACGACAACGGCCAACGATGCGTGAACTTTGCAGCCTCCCGGGGTATGGTAGTTCGAAGTACCTTTTTCCCCCGCAAGGATATCCACAAAGCCACCTGGAGATCACCTGACCAACACACAGAAAACCAAATCGATCACGTTCTAATCGACGGGAAATTCTTCTCCGACATTATCAACGTCCGCACGTACCGCAGTGCGAACATAGATTCGGACCACTACCTAGTTGCAGTATGCATGCACTCAAAACTCTCGACGGTGCATAACACACGTCGAAGTCGAACGCCGCGACCCAACATTGAGCAACTACGGGACGCCGGAATTGCCCAGGGCTACGCGCAGCAGCTGGAAGTTGCACTACCCACGGAAGAGCAGCTTGGCGCAGCTTCTCTTGAAGATGGCTGGAAGGACATCCGTTCAGCCATAGGTAGTACTGCTGCAGTGGCACTAGGTACTGCAATCCCGGACCGAAGAAATGACTGGTTTGACGGCGAATGCAAACTGTTAGTAGAGGAGAAGAATGCAGCACGGGCGAGAATGCTGCAACACTGCACGAGATTGAATGTGGAGCGATACAGACAAGCGCGGAACAGACAAAACTCGGTTTTCCGAAGGAAGAAGCGTCAGCAGGAAGACCGAGATCGCGAGGCGATGGAAAATCTGTACCGTGTAAACGACACACGGAAATTCTACGAGAAGCTAAATAGTTCGCGCAAAGGCTACGTGCCGCAAGCCGATATGTGCAAGGACTTGGTGATTGAGAGGTGGAAGCAGTACTATGACGAGCACCTCAACGGTGAAGCAGCAGAAAACGAAGGTGGCACGGCAACAGACCTTGGAGCACGCGCAGAAGACGACAGGCTACCGGCCCCTGATCTTCAAGAAGTTGAGGAGGAGATCGGTCGGCTGAAGGACAACAAAGCAACTGGTGTAGATCAACTACCAAGTGAGCTATTGAAATACGGTGGTGAAGCACTGGCTAGAGCGCTGCACTGGGTAATTGCCAAGATTTGGGAGGAGGAGATATTACCGGAGGAGTGGATGGAAGGTGTCGTATGCCCAATCTACAAAAAGGGCGACAAGTTGGATTGCTGCAACTACCGCGCGATCACACTGCTGAGCGCCGCCTACAAGGTACTCTCCCAAATTCTATGCCGCCGTCTGTCACCATATGCAAGAGAGTTCGTGGGGCAATACCAGGCGGGATTCATGGGTGCCCGCGCTACCACGGACCAAATTTTCGCGATTCGGCAGGTTCTGCAGAAATGCCGCGAATACAACGTGCCCACACATCATTTGTTCATCGATTTCAAATCCGCATACGACACAATCGATCGAGATCAGCTATGGCAGATTATGCACGAGTACGGATTTCCGGACAAACTGACGCGATTGGTCAAGGCGACGATGAATCGAGTGATGTGCGTTGTTCGAGTATCGGGGACACTCTCGAGTTCCTTTGAATCTCGAAGGGGGTTACGGCAGGGTGATGGACTTTCGTGTCTGCTGTTCAACGTCGCGTTAGAAGGTGTGATCAGAAGAGCTGGGATAGACACGAGTGGCACGATATTCAGGAAGTCCATCCAGCTCCTTGGTTTCGCCGATGACATTGACATTATGGCACGGAACTTTGAGATGATGGCGGAAACGTACATCAGACTGAAGGCTGAAGCTAGACGGATTGGACTTGCTATCAACGCATCAAAGACAAAATACATGAAAGCAAGAGGTTCTAGGGAAGACAATGTTAGCCTCCCACCCCGAGTTCAGATTGACGGTGACGAAATCGAGGTGGTCGATGAGTTCGTGTATTTGGGCTCACTGGTGACCGCCGAAAATGATACCAGTAGAGAAATTCAAAGACGCATTATGGCAGGGAATCGTGCCTACTTTGGACTCCGGAGGACGCTCCGGTCGAAAAAAATTCGCCGCCGCACGAAGTTGACTGTCTACAAGACGCTGATTAGACCGGTGGTCCTTTACGGCCACGAGACCTGGACTATGCTCGTGGAGGACCAACGCGCCCTTGGTGTTTTCGAACGGAAGGTGTTGCGTACCATCTACGGTGGAGTGCAGATGGATGACGGAACGTGGAGGAGGTGAATGAACCACGAATTGCACCAGCTGCTGGGAGAACCATCCATCGTCCACATTGCAAAAATTGGGTGACTACGGTGGGCTGGGCACGTCGTAAGAATGCCGCACGATGACCCAGTGAAAATGGTTCTAGAAAGCGACCCAACAGGAACAAGAAGAAGAGGCGCACAGTGGGCAAGGTGGATCGACCAAGTAGAAGGTGACCTGCGGACCCTTCGCAGACTACGAGGCTGGCGAACTGTGGCCATGGATCGAGTAGAGTGGAGACGACTTCTTCGGACAGCAGAGGACAACAAGGCCTTAGCCTGATTGGTAAGGTAAGTATCATTGTTACGTGTCAAACGTATGCGGTTTTGTAAAAATAATATTTTTTGAAATTCATAATGTTTGAACGGGACTTACGAGGGAAATAATATTGTAGTCTCACAGAAAATCGGTGCATACCGCCGATTTTTCCCAGAAATATAACTCTTTCTGAAAAAAAAAAATTTGGTCCTGAGCTGGTCCACCACTACGTTATCCGATGCAAAAATAAAATTATCATTTATACATTTTTCTACACTTTTTTTATGGTTTCAGTTATTTCCTATCAACTTTATAAATCAGCTGAATTGTAAATACACACTTCTGAAAATATACAAAAAATACGTAAATGCGTACACACTGAAACTAAAAAACCCTAATAAAAATACTCAAAAATACCTCGAAAGTACTTTGTACACGAAAAAACATTTCATAATGAATTTAATACACTTTAATACAAAAATACACCAAACTTAATAATACAAAATACAGCTTTTCAAGTCGGGTAGATGAATCGAAAATACTCAAGTTCACAGCCCCTCGTCTAAAAATAACAAAGTTCAAAACCTAAAACTATTTCACCACTCATTTTTATTTAAATTTATTCCTCAGTATTGGCGTCTTGCAGTGAAACTTTTCCAAACTTTCGCCTCCTACATTTCGAAGTGAGAACTACTAGAAGGAGGATAGTTACCAAATTGTCCAAGTAAAACAGACGATTTTTGGGGCAAATCGGTCCATAAAGAAAAACTAATAATTTCCTGTGGAAACTTTTGCTTGAATCGTGTAAGAAAACGTGTTTGAAAACTAATTGTTATTATTTCGGTATGGATCGGAGAGGTTTTCATGGAAAATAATGCATAACGAGTTTGCACCCACAGCGAGAGGTTACCTCCTGCGCAGCTGCATTTTTCGGAAAATGGTGAATATGTGCGATTTCCACTAAGATGAAAGTGGATATTAAGTTAATTTACTTAGGAAAGGTTGTATCATGCTGGTGGTAATGGAGAATTGGTTGTATAGGACGCCAATATTCAATAAATGTTCATTTTGGCCTTTTATAAGCAAACATACAATTTTCGACGGAAAACGCAACGGAACTTGCTTTACTCAACACGCACCATACTATAAAATGGTGCTAGATGGTCTTCAAAGTGATAACAAGATGACCAATCATCTTTATTTTGAGTCATTGAGCAATTTACTTCTGTTTACATCATATTTACGATGCAGCATTGATGGAGCCGTGAAATGAAATGAATATATCTTATGAAAGTTCAACTGAAAAAGTCAAAGATGCACATCAGTCTGATCGTAAAAACTTTTTCTTCTTCAATTCGAATGTTATATTGGAAGGATTTTACACAGGCTTGATAAAAATTATGATTTAACGCTAATTTTCACAAATTTTATATGCAGTCTGTCAACATTATCATCATCATGCAGTGGCGACATCTGCGTTGAGCTTTTACGGCAATCTTCCAATAAGGCTTGTACTCGAAAAAAATACACAATTTTTATCCGAGTGTAACTTTTTATCCGTGAGTAAAAATTGATGACAATCTGAGTATAACTAGTTTGGAGTTAATTGTTTACATGTGCAAAATTTCATAACAATCGGTTCAGTGGTAATTGAGATGTCATCGAAACAAGAAGAAAAAATGGAAAATCCGACTGCGACCATGAGATGGATCGGAAGACAACTGGGAATCACCCATACAACTGTGTCTCGGGTGGTAAAATTGTTTAAGGAGTCCCAGAAGACCGAGCGGTGGGCTGGAAGTGGAAGAAAATCGAAGACAACTGACCCTGTGAAGGCCCGGAAGGTGTTGGATTATTTCAAGCGTAATCCGAACCTTTCGATTCGCGACGTGGCTCTGAAGGCAAAGTGTTCCGCCTGGTTCGTTCAGCAAACCATGAAACGAGCTGGGCTTCGTGTATTCAAGGTCCGGAAGGCACCGAACCGGAGTGATCAACAAAACACGGCGGCCAAATCCCACGCAGGGAAGCTGCATGCAGAGTGGTTAACGAAACCGATGTGTGCGGTTATGGATGACGAAACCTACATCAAGGCAGACGCAAAGCACATACCGGGGCTGGAGTTCTACGTTGCCAAATCACGGTTTGATGGTCCGGAAGACATAAGGAAGAAGAAAGTGGACAAATTCGCCAAAAAATACTTGCTCTGGCAGGCCATATGCCAATGCGGTAAACTGAGTAAACCGTACATCACAATGGGAAATCAACGTACATCAACAGCAAAATTTACCGCACCGAGTGCCTCCAGAAGCGTCTGCTGCCCTTCCTGCGGTCCCACGGAGGCGAGACATTATTTTGGCCGGACCTGGCATCATGCCATTACGCGCGATCGACGTTGGATTGGTACAGAGACAATAACGTTGTTTTTGTACCAAAAACCGCTAACCCTCCAAATTCATCAGAGATTCGTCCGGTGGAAAGATTTTGGGCCATAATGAAGGTCAAAGTTCGAAAATCGTCCAAGGTGCTTAAGAACGAGCTGGAGTTGAAGAAAGAATGGATGAAAGTGACCAAAAAGGTCAGCTCCACCATTGCACAAAATGCAATTGGGGGTCTTAAGGGAAAGGTGCGGGCTTTCAGCGATGGAAAGGAAATTGAATAAAGTAATTATGCCGAAACATAATCCATATGTATTAGGGGAAATGACGGCTTCGGCATGGCAGACTATTTTCGGCGACCCAAATTGAAACACTATTTTCACTGGATTTTCTTACGAAAACACTTCGCTGAATGCATGCAAACGATTCTTTATGCTTTCAGCTTCAATTTGACTATATTTTTACCACTGAGAAAAAGCAATCTAGCAAGGTTTCTTGAAATGAAACACACGCACTACAAATTGTAGCTGATTTCGAGTTGCCGATAATAGAACAACAGATTTACATGCAGTTCAAATGGAACAGTTGCCGAAGAAAAACTGGTTGCCGATAATACTCGCTCTCACTAGAGAAGATTGGAGGTTTGTAAAAGCGTTTCAAAACAGTTTTTGACAATTCTTTCGACTGAAATTGTTAGAGCAGCTGGCAGCAATAGATTGTAAACAAACCAATACTGCATATGTGTGCGTTCCTTAGAGAAAAAGGCTATAGAAAGAAGGTCGCTGCTTAGGTTGCCGAGAATACGTAAATTCTCCTAGTTCATTCTCTGAAAGTTTCAAGAAAATCCGACTCAAAATAAATTTTTGGCGAACACTTTTGAATGGTGCATTTTTTTTTCGAGTACTGGCCTTAGTCCACAAAGACGTAGTTCTCAGTCAAAGATTCCGTTTAACTTATATACTGCCTGTCTTCCACAATCTTCACAAAACATTAAAGGTGCTCCAAATGTTTATGGGCGAAAAATATCATCTCAGAATTTCAAATGTATTCAAAATGAAGGCCTGTTTTCAAATCTGGCACCCCAGCTGTATAACCCTTCCAGTGTTCTACACTCTTATACCGATGCTCATCAGACAGAACGCATAGTAGTTGTAGAATTCCGGGAGCTCGTGTTGGTTTGAACCGGTGCACTACCACAACCGTAGAAACCACGGTAGCGCACAACCGTTCAGATGTTCTGAACAAATGAAAACACAAACTCTAAGTCACTCAGAAGTGGAGTTAAATGAGCAAACGTTCCTATCATTACCGCATGCCTCACATGAACAAACTATTGAAGCAGAAGATTGTTTACACTCGAAACTCACGTGGCAGAACTATTATGGATTCTGATGTTACTAGGGGTGCTTCGATGGTTCAAATTCAGTTTGTGTTTAGCAATCATTGAAACAGTTAGTAGAGTAGCTCTTTAGCTACATGCATACGCGAGTTAATTTATTCACGAATAAAGGTAGCATTTTCCGGATGCCACCCTCAACGTGGCGAAAGAGGGTGGAACAGTGAGCTAGCTTCTACCATACTGAAGTCCAGCTAGCAGCCATCAGCAACACACAGATTCGGGTTAAGACCGTGCCGTGTCAGCGAAGCAGGAGGGATCATTAAAAACGCATGAATGAAAATCAATTTCTAAACACAACATTAATACCACCCGCGGAGAAAATTTGGCCGCCCAATATGCAAGCACACGGTGCCACCAACACGGCCATGGCCATGCGGGAGTAGGTGGGCTCTCAGTGGCACAAAAATAGACTCGTTTCCACTTACTCAGACGGTAATGGCGAATTGAAAGAGCTTCGATTTTTTTATTTGTTCCATTGAATTCAGTGGATTGCTTTTTCGGGTTATGTTTCATCAGATGATCCGTGAGTGGGTTTTATTTTCAGATTTGTTTTCACCGATAGATTGAATGTTTCATAAAACTGCAAAGCCAGGCGAATATTCAGCTGATGATTTAGAAATCTATCCAGGCCAATATCCTCCAATACTCCTCCCATTTGATCCGATCCAGTTTCCAATGGCAACGTTTTGTAAATGAATATTTTTGAAAAAATGAGGCACCAGTATTTGAAAGTAATCTCAAACTAGGAAAGTTTGACGCAACTTAAGAAAATAAACCATATTGCGAAGGAAGATACTGGTCGATGAAGTGATTCTCACGTGAATGATGTTTCCATCCAATCATCATCATGCTCTGATCTATCACACTTTATCGCTTTTATAATGTATGTTCATCTCTGGCTGTCTCCCTTAGGCTACTTTCCACTGCAATCCGAGTACTGCCTGCTGTGGATCTGCCTGGATGTGATGTTCTGCACTGCCAGCATCATGCATCTGTGCACCATTTCCGTCGATCGATACCTCTCGCTTCGATATCCGATGCGGTTCGGGCGAAACAAGACCCGGAAACGGGTGGTACTGAAAATCAGCTTCGTATGGCTGCTATCGATTGCGATGAGTTTGCCATTAAGCCTAATGTACTCGAAGGTAAGTGAGCGAGAGCGAGTGGGCAGGTTTGTGCAACTTTACCAGTTTCAAAATTTCACCTACCGTGTCGTTCCATGCTGGAAAGCATTGCAGTGGGATGTGAACAAGTAGGTTATTGTTTGACATACACAGCAAAAAATAAATTTTAATATTACGTCCAAGAGGATGCACTTCAATCAGGTCGAAATCTCATGTAATTTTTATGGTCATAAAAATAAACAAATGCAGTAAAAGCAGCATAATTTCAGTTCATGCACTGTATTAATGATAATTTTGTCCTATTTTGGCAAGTAATATTACATCATATTTCCGACACGATTGAAGTGCATCCACTTTGATTTGATATTAAAATTATGTTTTTGTTGTGTACTCTATAGAGCAAAGATACGCCAACTGACGAGTCGATTTTACTCCCCCCTCTCCGAATTCCGTGAAACTTCGCATAATTGTTCACTTGGGACAATGAATCAAGTTTGTGCCAGTATTGAACCATTTTGAGTCACGCATAACTTTTGAAAATGGCGTATTCGCTATTTTTCTAATAATTCAAAGCACGGCTCATTTAATCGAAAGGACGTCTGAGAAAAGTTGTAGGACACTGGATTGCCCTTTCTGAAAAAAATCTATGCACAGTATAAAAATTACAAATTTTCGTCAATAATGAAAAAAAAAAAACTGTTGCAAAATTTTAGTAAGAAAAATTAAAAATTGTTAGATTTTTTTAAATTATGTTTATTTGAACTTGAAAAAACACACACAATGGATGTTTCAAAATTTACTAAAATCAACTATTAGTACAAATTTTGAACTTTTTTTCCTCAAATAGTTTTAATTGTATTCACATACATATTGATTGAAAAAAAGTTTATGCATTTTACTAAAAGTTTCTGTTCTACGATTTTGGTCAATATTGCAGGGTTCATTCCAGAAAAGAAATTTTGATAAGCTTTCAAAGAAATTCACTTGTATTGTTATGGAAGTTCTTACCGGTTTTTTAAATGAAAAAACGCAAATTTTTTATGAGTGTATTTTCTTCTGAAAAGACATTCCAGTACGTTTTTGTTTCTGAAGTTTTTAACAGCAGTTTTTTTTTAGTGCGATAGTGAGAAATGCATTTTTTTTTCTTCTGTAAAGACAATCTAGTTTCTTACAAATTTGTCTCAGATTTCATCTCATTAAGGAGAACCGTGTTTGTTCTATGATTTATTAAAAAATATCGAAAACGCCATTTTGAAAAAAAAAAAATAGATGTCAGTCAAAATCGTCGATTTCTAGCTCAAACTTAATTTATTGTTAACAGCGAACAATTATGAAAAGTATTATGGAATTCTGAGGAGATCATTTTTTTTTGCTGTGTGATGTGTATTTGGCCTACACTGTAATTATTCAAAATGTTGCTTTACTTTTACTTTTTTTTCCTCTGTTCGGGACCTAACACCACTGCGACCAGTAATTTGATCTATTGTAGTATATACCGTGTCCTTAGTTTAGTGCATGTCTTATTACTCCATCACTATTGAGGAATGATGAAGTATTCGATTTTTTTTACAGTTGTCATTATCGCATTTATCGGAAGGATCTGACTCTTATTGAAAGGTTCCGCTATTTATACCCTTTGGAGTGTTGTAACACCCTCCAAAGGCGTGCCCCTTTGTCAGTCAAAACTGGATTCCTTAACAACAAAATTAAGGAATGACACCGATAATGACCATGCATCAGAACCCTAGTCTTAACCACTTCAAACTAGGAAACAACGAATAGAAGATTAGGAATCACATAGATGAAGATAACTAACTCATTTTTTCCTTGGGTCAAGATCATCCTCGGTGGACAAAGCCGAGTCTTGTCACTATCAACAAGGCATAAAAAGTAACAAGGACTAAGATGTGTTCCTTGGATTACTGAAAAATCCTGTTCCCCTAGTTTGAAGTAGTCAGGGCTAGGAATCGGTGGTAGATCTTACATCCCGTAACATACCACGAAAAGATGATCTACCCACGTTACGGGGCTACTTTTACTTTAACTTTACTTTACTTTTACTTTATTTTTACTTTACTTTTACCTTACTTTTACTTTACTTTTACTTTACTTTTACTTTACTTTTACTTTACTTTTACTTTACTTTTACTTTACTTTTACTTTACTTTTACTTTACTTTTACTTTACTTTTACTTTACTTTTACTTTACTTTTACTTTACTTTTACTTTACTTTTACTTTACTTTTACTTTACTTTTACTTTACTTTTACTTTACTTTTACTTTACTTTTACTTTACTTTTACTTTACTTTTACTTTACTTTTACTTTACTTTTACTTTACTTTTACTTTACTTTTACTTTACTTTTACTTTACTTTTACTTTACTTTTACTTTACTTTTACTTTACTTTTACTTTACTTTTACTTTACTTTTACTTTACTTTTACTTTACTTTTACTTTACTTTTACTTTACTTTTACTTTACTTTTACTTTACTTTTACTTTACTTTTACTTTACTTTTACTTTACTTTTACTTTACTTTTACTTTACTTTTACTTTACTTTTACTTTACTTTTACTTTACTTTTACTTTACTTTTACTTTACTTTTACTTTACTTTTACTTTACTTTTACTTTACTTTTACTTTACTTTTACTTTACTTTTACTTTACTTTTACTTTACTTTTACTTTACTTTTACTTTACTTTTACTTTACTTTTACTTTACTTTTACTTTACTTTTACTTTACTTTTACTTTACTTTTACTTTACTTTTACTTTACTTTTACTTTACTTTTACTTTACTTTTACTTTACTTTTACTTTACTTTTACTTTACTTTTACTTTACTTTTACTTTACTTTTACTTTACTTTTACTTTACTTTTACTTTACTTTTACTTTACTTTTACTTTACTTTTACTTTACTTTTACTTTACTTTTACTTTACTTTTACTTTACTTTTACTTTACTTTTACTTTACTTTTACTTTACTTTTACTTTACTTTTACTTTACTTTTACTTTACTTTTACTTTACTTTTACTTTACTTTTACTTTACTTTTACTTTACTTTTACTTTACTTTTACTTTACTTTTACTTTAATTTTACTTTAATTTTACTTTAATTTTACTTTACTTTTACTTTACTTTTACTTTACTTTTACTTTACTTTTACTTTTACTTTACTTTTACTTTACTTTTACTTTACTTTTACTTTACTTTTACTTTACTTTTACTTTACTTTTACTTTACTTTTACTTTACTTTTACTTTACTTTTACTTTACTTTTACTTTACTTTTACTTTACTTTTACTTTACTTTTACTTTACTTTTACTTTACTTTTACTTTACTTTTACTTTACTTTTACTTTACTTTTACTTTACTTTTACTTTACTTTTACTTTACTTTTACTTTACTTTTACTTTACTTTTACTTTACTTTTACTTTACTTTTACTTTACTTTTACTTTACTTTTACTTTACTTTTACTTTACTTTTACTTTACTTTTACTTTACTTTTACTTTACTTTTACTTTACTTTTACTTTACTTTTACTTTACTTTTACTTTACTTTTACTTTACTTTTACTTTACTTTTACTTTACTTTTACTTTACTTTTACTTTACTTTTACTTTACTTTTACTTTACTTTTACTTTACTTTTACTTTACTTTTACTTTACTTTTACTTTACTTTTACTTTACTTTTACTTTACTTTTACTTTACTTTTACTTTACTTTTACTTTACTTTTACTTTACTTTTACTTTACTTTTACTTTACTTTTACTTTACTTTTACTTTACTTTTACTTTACTTTTACTTTACTTTTACTTTACTTTTACTTTACTTTTACTTTACTTTTACTTTACTTTTACTTTACTTTTACTTTACGTTTACTTTACTTTTACTTTACTTTTACTTTACTTTTACTTTACTTTTACTTTACTTTTACTTTACTTTTACTTTACTTTTACTTTACTTTTACTCTACTTTTACTCTACTTTTACTTTACTTTTACTTTACTTTTACTTTACTTTTACTTTACTTTTACTTTACTTTTACTTTACTTTTACTTTACTTTTACTTTACTTTTACTTTACGTTTACTTTACTTTTACTTTACTTTTACTTTACTTTTACTTTACTTTTACTTTACTTCTACTTTACTTTTACTTTACTTTTACTTTACTTTTACTTAACTTCCTATTCCCTATTATTATTTTTTATCCCTTGGTTCAACTAGACGCTCAAATTATAACTCTGCCCTAAAATATTACTTGTCCAGTTCTGCAAAATCGCTAAATTGTTTGATTCCATCGTTTTGGTTCCCAACATGTTCAATGTTGAAGTGTTTCCCGATTCAACATGGAACGACGCAGCCATTTCACTTTCCCTTGCAATCCCCCTTGGGGCAGCTCATATTAATAATTTACTATTGCTGTAATTACACAGAACCATGCCTCGGTGCTGGTGGAGGGCACCTGTCAGATTCCGGATCCGGTGTACAAGCTGGTCGGATCGATCGTCTGCTTCTACATCCCTCTGTGCGTGATGCTGATAACGTACACCCTGACGGTACGGCTGCTGGCCCAGCAAAGTCAGAACCTGGGTGGTGCCGCCGGAGCCGTTGCCAGCGCCACCGGCAGTTGGTCGAGCGGGTGGCTTGGTCAGGCGCCTGCCTTCGATCGACGAAATACATGGAAGCGGATTATTAAACTAAGCCTCCCGACGACGCCGAACCATGCCCACTCGGCCGCGTCAACCGACACCGAGCTTTCAACGTTGGACAATCATGATCTCTGGCTGCAGGAGTCCAGGTAAGACACACACTCACACACACAGGCACCAGTATCAATTTGTTCTAATGGTTATGCTTCTCGAGGGAGCCCATTTAATTCAATGTTTTTCCATTCCCAGCATTCCCGAACCAACGCCATCGACCATGACGGCACTGCACCAGTTCGGGGAGGAAATGCTCAAGCTTTCGCGTGGCCTGGAAACGGTCCGAGGCAAAAATTTCAACACAATGCAAAACGGTCAACAATCCCGTGAAAGTGGCTGCCCCACCGCTGCCGCCTTGCCAGTCACTGCCGCCAGCAACGAGAACAGAAGTGGACCCGGGACTGATGCTGATGGAAAAAAGTTTCCTTTCAGGTATGCAAACAAATTTTGCGATTAACAGTTATGAAAAAGAATATGTAGGGTAAGATGGTCAATTATGGACCCCCTAGTAGCCTGTCCATTGACGCTGAATGGATTACCTTCTACTGATTGTTTCAGCAATGTTTTTTTTGTTTTTTTCAATAGAGTAATATTTTACACAAGTTTTGGGGTAAGAAGATTTTCGAAAAAGCGTCGATTTCATTTCAATCCTTGCTTCTAGCGATGATAAAATTTCTACATTTTGCTCTTTTTAGCTATGTCACTATGTCACTACGCCTATTTTGCGCCGCGACTGAGGTGAGGTGACTCGCTGTCACTAGTGAGGTGACAATAGTCACCGAGAGTGAGGTGACTCTCAACATTCGAAATTCTATGTACTTCGGTAGTACTGTACCAGGCAGGCAACTTCAAAAACATTTTCAGAACTTTGTTCTTCGCTATACATTCTAATGTCGGTCTTCCAACAGCCCATACAATTGAAAGCTGCTGTCAGAAACTTTGCTTCAGAACAATTCACTGTCTTTCAGTTCTTCTGTTTTAAACGTGCCAAAATCAATATTTCTAATTCTAATGGTAATTCTGAGTGCACGGTAGGTATTGAACATTTTTCAAGATAACTAAAAATCTGTGATAAAGTGAAAAATCGGTAGTTTATAAAATTTTGTCTAGCATCTCTATAATCGGTAGGTCTGGCCACCCTGCTTGTTCCTTCCCACAATCTTCACCGAACAAGAACATACCGTCTGTCGTGCTTTTCCTTAGATATCTCTCGCATCACACGATGCGCTCAATAGATACAGAGGTACCTAGGGATTTTAATCTAATTTCCGTCCTACTAAGCACAACTCACACTTAACCTCTCATTTTCGATCGAATATTAACCTAAAACTGGAGTGATTCTAAAGGCTAAAAGTAAATTGGTACGCACATAAAGACCTCCACACTTAGAAATACTTAATCTTACACATGACGGAATCCATATTTGACATAAAGGAAGAGACGTAAACAAACATGTAATGTAAAATTAAGTGCTCCGAGACTGAAAAGTTCGAAAGTACGTTCGATTGAACTGAATTTCGCGTCAATTACGACTCAATTTTATGCCAAAATTGACGCTCGTATATGTCAGTCTCAGAGCACCTAAATAAATATACATCAGTTTTTCTAATTGTGTGTAATTCCTGATTCAATAAGTTTAAAAAGTCTATTAATGGTTGCTTTAGAGGACTTTTATTAAAACTTCAAAGTTACAGCATTAGATGGTTACATTTATTTTTTTTCCTTTGGTTTGGTTTTTTCCGTCGATCTTGTTTTCCGTGCTGAGCACCAATGCTACCGACGTGCCAGGAAAGCAGCTCCCACACCTGGACCCTACCTATCGACCCATCAACTCATGAAGCGGGGACCAACGGCTTTACTTCCCATCCGAAGGAAGGCGTGATCAGAGATGTTATGCCTCAGAACATCCCGGCGGCGCCGACTGAGATTGAACCCAGGCCTGCTGGGGTGAGAGGTAATCACGTTTACCACTACACCACCGCGCCGTTGGTTACATTTCTCCATTTCGAACGAAATCTCGAACCTTCCTTTTGATGGAGCCCATCAGCGCCCGCACAGCCCAAGTAACAATTTTGGTTTTATGAGGGTTCTGTAAACCATGATTTAGACTTGTAGAATGCTATAAAACCTCGATAAAACCTGCTATGTTACTTGGAAGTGGAAACTGACACGGAATAAGCGCATTTCTTCCATTTTGCCCGCATTTGCTGGATGTTCTTGACTGCCCCACCGCTTCGTCGAAGTCGCTGCTTTGAAATTACCCAGTATTTTTCGATTGGTCGAAATTCCGGGCAATTCGGAGGATTCATTAGCTTGCGGACAACATCGATCTTGTTGGCAGCATACCACTCCAGAACAACCTTGGAGTAGTGGCAGCTGGCCAAATGACCTTCTTCGCGAACTTGTCGGCAAACATGAACTTGAATCTTCCCGGCACATCCCCACGTCCACGTCGCGATGTAAAACTTTTGACCGGGAAGCTGCTTGAAATCGAGTTTGTCGTATGTTTCGTCATCGATCAAAGTGCAGCCCTTGTGGTTCATCAAAACACGTTCGTACACTTTTTGGCCACGGAATTCTGCTTCATGTGCCGGTTCGGATGTTTACTGGCTTTGTACGACTTGTATCCTTCCCTGGCAAGGATGTTCCGCACCGTTTGAAAGTTGGCGTTGTACCTTCTGGCCACATCTCGGATCGAACCTTGCTGCGCAGCTGACAGTTCCAATTTTTTTTGTAGGTCCACTGATTCCTTTCCACACTCAGGGTTTCATTGTAGGTTTTGAGCACTTGACAAACTGTTGTTTTCGGCATCTTCAGTACTTTAGCCAGCTTGGATCGGGACCAGTCCAGATTTTCCAGGTGTTTGAGCATAAAAAATTTTCTTCTTTCGAGTTCCATTTGACGTTATTTTTGAACGCGATCGACTTTGATCAAACTTGCACCAGTTGTTCTCTATAGAAGTGTAAACAAACCATTGTCAAAGATTTTCGATTCCCAACACTAGAAGCGTGCTAGCGGCACGCGGGGGGCGTACCAATTTACTTCAAGTCAACCTTTACTATAGATTACTTTAAAATTTATTTATCTTTCTATACGTACCGTTGGATTTGATAAAGAGTCACACATTATTGAGAATATTGTTAGAAATCTAACATAGATTTTTGATTCCAAATACGTTCTACGTGTTTCAATGCCGTCCTACCGCATTGAAACGCCATTGGTTTTTTGGTGTAGGACTACGTCTGTGATTTCTTAATGGGAGTACACTTTGTGAAAACCGGAAATGGAACATGTAACAAAATTATGAAAGATTTTGAACGTTAATAGCTCAGCTGCCTCTGCACCAATTTTAATAATTTTAACATCAATCGATCAGAAATATTTCTACGCATCTGATCAATTTAAGACTTCATAATTCATAATAAATGTCACTATTGAAAATTGCACGAATGTGAAACTGTTGCTATGATAATTCGAATTATCTCCGATTGCCTGCGAGAAGCGATTTCCCTAACACAGATTTCAAAGTTGAATTCCATCCGGTCTCACCAAACGGTGATTCAATCACCGCGTGGTTAGTAGTGGTGTTCTCCAGTACACAACGAAGGGTTCCCCGCAAGCAGCTAGCTATCAAGACTGCCCACACCCGATGATGGAATTCAGTTCCAATCACCGGTGGTGTTGTCCGGTTGTCGGCAACAGCAGCAGCAGTGCTTTTGGCACGTGGCGTTGAAATTGCTCTCCAGTACACAACGAAAGGTTGCCTGCAGCTGCAGCCCACATGAGCATCCATAGAAGGAGGAAGAAGCCGCACCGCTATTGATCCGAATCAGTAGCTCTTAGTGAGTCGCTGTGGGCCATCTATGTCAAGCGCGTCATAGAAAAGTGTATAAACAGAGATAACCCCGCGTGTAGTGGTAATCGTGATCACCTCTCACCCCAGCAGGCCTGGGTTTAATCCCAGACGGCGCCTCCGGGATGTTCTGAGGCATAACATCTCTGATCACGCCGTTGGTCCCCGTTTCATGAGTTGATGGATCGATAGGTAGGGGCCAGGTGTGGGAGCTGCCTCCCTGGCGTCGGTAGCATTGGTGCTCAGCACGGAAAACAAGATCGACGGAGAACAAACCAAAGGAAAAAAAAAATCAGATTTCCCGCCTTGAATTGGACATTTTGTTAATTTGACAGCTGCGTGCTTCTAAATTTTCCTTGGTTGAAACAGTGTTTATGAGATATTTTTCGATGGAGTTTACCTGTAAATCACTCAAATTTTTCTTTAAAACTACATTAATCTGCTAAACGAAGGGGTCCCTAAAAGGCAAATTTACCCTAGATACAAAGGACTGCAGAGCAAAAATCAACAAAAAACTTTCGTGCGGTTGTTGATATGGTACACGTGCTCCCGATCACCGTCGTCGGAGGACGAGGAGAAAAATCTTTATTTTTTCTTTGGCTTTTACGTTCCGACTGGAGCTTTACGCCTTCTCTCAATGAGTGTTCTTTGAGTGCTTAGTTACTCACTTGTTAAGTGAGAGCTTTCATTGCCTGCACCATTTTTGCATTCGTATGTTGTTTGGAAACATACTCTACTAATGTGATACTTTACGCTCCAGGTAGTCGAGTTAATCTCCAACCAGGAAATATCTTAGATCGGACCGGGAATCGAGTTGCCTCCAGCATAGTCTTTCTTTATAGCAGCGCCATTACCGGCTGAGCTAAGGGAGGCCCCTAGAAGGAGGAGGAAAATAGGTGGAGGACAAGGGGAAAAATAATAAAGCCATCCGTACTTTTACCTTGCTCCAATTCACTTGAACACTATAAAAGGTATTATATGGGGTCCATTGAAGAAGACTGAAATTAAATATCTTCATTTTGAGCATGAAAACTTATAAGCTCAAGATGAAGCAGTCTACAAAATGTGCAGCTGTCAAACATTACATATTGCTATTAATTTCAATGAAAGGTGGGAGTTGCCTTTGATGTGAAATCCTCCCCGCTACAAGCATTATATGTAATCACTCATGAGACACTTCGTTGGAAAATACGGCCTTTTCTTAATAAAAAGCATTGTAAAATAACATAACAATTGTAGAGGCCCCGAGGCAGCAACGGTGCTGTTGTTTGTTCCTGATCGGTTAAATAAACGAATGGTTTAAGCGCCACCTCCGAAGAGGACCATCTGTCGTGTTTTACGATGCCCGGCTAGATACTGGCCAAATGAACCAGTTCTAAAATTCGTCAACAGTGTCGGGAACAAGACCAACAGACCCGAGTGACTCAAGAAAGGAGTGAGTATACCCACCGAAATCCCAAGATCCTAACTAACGAGTCCGAGAAACTTCCAATACCGAAAACCGATCCGAACAGGGCACAGTGGGGAATCTCCATACAAGAAGGTGGCCAAAAATATGTTCGTGGTTTTTATGCATTTT